GTCCGCGCGCGTCACTTCCGGGGGGCGTGGCAATCGATCGCCCCGCCCCCTCTGGAGCGCTCTGGGTTTCAGGGTCTCTCCTCGCCTCCGGCACCTACACCGGTTCGCTCGGAAGCTGCACGTCTGGCCTCTCCCGCCAAACGGGTGTAATAATTATTCGGTTTCCGCTGCTCCCAGGGTTAGCTCTGTGGGACACTGCCCTGTAGCCTTCAGCCTACAGCTTGCCTTGGGCTTTCGGGAATTGAAGATGACAGTATTCAGCGGGGCGTGGTGGTGCACGCCTGTAATCCCAGCATCGGGGAGGCTGAGGCTGGAGGATGGCCGCGAGTCCAAGGCCACCCAGAGCTGCAGAGTGAGTTCACAGCCAGCCTGAATTACGCAGCAAGACCCTGTCTCATAAATAAAAATGGCAGGGTCGGGGATTTAACTGATGACGCTGCCTGCCTCGCAAGTGCAAGGTCCCGAGTTCGATCCCAGGTGCCCGTAAATAAATAAGTAAGATGGCAGTGTTCATCTCACACCCTGGTACTACATTCCGGCGGGAGCCCTCTACAGTCGCGGAGCAGAGACAGGCAGACCCTGAAGCCCACACCGCTTCACTGCATTTTCAGGCCTGCTGTGTCCCTGCCGCATCCTGGGCGAGGTTGGCCCCTACATCAGGAAAGGATACAGCAGCCCTGCCCCTGGCCCGGGGCTCAGGCCAAGGCACCTGGGTGGCCCGCTGTGGGGCGGGGCACCCTGACCCTGAAGAGACCCCAAGGGCAGCGGGGAGGACGCCCCCCACCCCCGGGCTAGTCCACAGGGGAATTCTCTGAATCCTCAGAACCCAGAAGCCCCATCGGGTGGGTGCGAGCGCACTCGGGAGTCAGCTCCGTGCTACTGACGCCCACCGGGGGGGACGTGTGGGGTAGGGGAGCTGGTCAGAGACCCCCAGGGTCGGAGTTGGGGGGGTGCCGGAGCGCTGCCTGCCTAGGGAGGAGTTTGTTAAAAATGTGCTTAGGCTGGGGTGTGGCCCCGAGGATGGAGGGCATGCCCGGCGCGGGTGAAACCCTGGCTTTCATCCCCAGCACGGGAGGAAAACCCACCTTGGCACGGTCCAGGCACTCAGTCGGAAGCTGGGGTGGGACAGGGACTCAGAGGCTCCAAGGGACTGGCGGTGCCCAGGAGCTCCGGGATCCCTAATCCAGTGGGGTGCTAGCAACAACAGCATCTGAATGCTCACACTCCAGGGGCAGATGAATGCCCTGTGCCACGTGGCACCATTTAGGGTCCACGTGCAGGCACTGCCCGGGTTCTGCAGCTGAGCCAGGCAGCCAGAAGTTCACAGCATCGCCCAAGGCTGCAAAGCTGATAAGGAGGGGAGGAGCCCAGCTGGAACCCTTAATAACTGCCCGTTTTATGGTAGTGGGGATTGAACCCAGGGCCTTCGAGCTGAGCTACATCTTCAGCCCTTTTTATATATTTTATTTATTTATTTATTTTTGAGGCAGGGTCTTGCTATGTAGTTTAGGCCGGTCTTGAACTATACGGTCCAGGATGGCCACGAACTCGCGGCAGTCCTCCTGTCTCAGCCTCCCGAGCGCTGGGAGGACAGTGTGCGCCACCCCGCCCGGCTATAATTTTTTTAAATAGTAAGAGTGACGGCAGATCGTCTTTGTTGAGCACGTCCCACGTGCCTGGCAGGGTCCCAAGCCCCTGACCCGCGTCGGCTCAAATCGACTTCACAGCGCCCCCGAAGGTGGAGGTATTCTTGCCGTCACCCTTTCCCGCCCAGGACACAGACGCTCAGCCGGCTGTCGCCGGAAGCCAGCCCT